TGGGGTTTGGTCATGACCTTGTCCATTCCTCTCGCCGGGCACAGTTGACCGCAACGGTTAAGCATGGGGCTCTGCGGGGTTGTCTCATTTCAGAAACACTGCGACAGGCAGAAGGCAAACCTGAGGATCCGCTTCAAGCCCTCGCTCTTCCAGCACGTGGGAACCCACTCCTCCTTGGCCGGAAAGATACAGAAGCTGAAGGTGGGTACCAGCTGCCTGTCCAAGCTGCAGATGGCCTTTCTGCCAGGCCTGGCCTGTGGGCACACGGGAACTGGCCGCTTTTGGGCTGGGAACATCAGTGACAGCAGCTGGTGGGATGGTGGCAGCTGGATTTCTGTGCAGTAGTTGTGTTTTATTCTGAATTTAAGGGAGTTCATGTAGCTCCTGCTTGTCAGCATGGCAGTGACATGTACCAAGAGTTGCTGCAAGCCACTGGTACTGGTGCCACACACCCATCCATCCTGAGTGCCGAACCAGGTGATTTCCAGTGCCGGGCAAGTCGTTTCAAAGCATCTGCTGAAAAACCTTGGAGAGATGACTCCTGGGTTGCTCCGACTTCCTTCCCACCCCCTCCTTGTTCCTGGGCTTTGCTGCTAGACAAACTTGGGCTTGCTGTGTACGAGCTTGAATTATTTGTGTATGTTTAAACATCAACAAAATCAAGCTTCTACAGCTATATGTGCAGGACCCATAGACACACACCCCTGGGCTGTGCTCAGTCCTGTCTATCCCCAGGTACATGGATGGTGTAATCCAGTTTCTATCGCAGTGCAGTGCCCATCAGGCTGTGTAATCCAGTCATTTTATGCTGTCGCCAGCCTCCCAGCAGCCTTCTGCTCAGGTGTAAGGACTGTTTGCAAAGCTCCTGGGGCAGAGACAGGCGTTCGAGGATGCTTGGGCAACAAAAGGCTTCTTGGTGCTGAATCAGAGTGCAGAACTGTGGTGTGTCTCTGCTGCCTCTCATGAAGTTGTGTCCTCCTGGGATCCAACCATGCATTGCCCTGTCTGGTGCCTTCCCTAGATCACTTACATCCCTCATCCTTCTGCTTTGTGCAAATTGAGACCTTTTACTTTGCAGTGCCTTTTTGCTGGGACCTCTGTTCCTCACGAGCGAGAGCAGCTCATGACCCTTTTCTGCCCTTTTGCTTTGCGCCCCCCAAGGATAAGGACTTTGGCAAGCAGGCCCTGCGGAAAGAGCACGTCAACCCTCCTGCGGAGGTGAGCACCAGCCTGAAAACCTACCAGCACTTCACCTTGGAGAAGGCTTACCTGCGGGAGGACTTCTTCTGGGCCTTCACTCCCACTGCCGGAGACTTCATCAGATTCAGATTCTTCAAACCACTCCGCATTGAAAGGCCAGTGCCTGGGGGGGGTGCCTCAGTGACGGGGGACACGAGGACAGCCTGGAATGTGCAGAGATGCTTCCTTTTTGCTATTCTTTCTCATGCTGAATTTCTTGCCCACCTTCTGCTCCCAGGAGGAGGGAGCAGTGCTCTTCGGAGGGGGCGGGCAATAATTTGACCCTTTTTTGGTGGGCCCATGTCTGCCAGAGCCCTTTGCTTTCCGGCGCCTGTGAGCAATCTACCATTTGCTAATCTGGCACAGGTGGAATCCTTCCAAACCATGTCCCCGTGGGCTTTTTGAGAAGGTGCCTGTTAGGCGGAGCTGTTTGATGGTTCAGCTGGGTTGAAAGCCATCATGTCCCCCCCTCACTCACGTGGGTTTCCATGGCTTTGGTCTCTGTCACAGGTTCTTCTTCCGCAGCGGGAACATCGAGCACCCAGAAGACAAACTCTTCAATACGACTGTGGAGGTTTTGCCATTTGACGTAAGTGTTTTATTGAGAATTGAGACGGGGGTGGAGTGGGAAGCGAAAGAGGTTTGAGAGAAGGGAACTGCTTAAAGCCGTCAGGAAAATCTTTACAAGAGTCATTGCCTTTGAGAGGTGGTGGCTGAGAACCAGGGAGTCACGCCTGGTGTCGTACCCGCTCTGGAGCGGGGATGCTACGCTGAGCAGTCGCTATGGTAGCCATCCATGCCTGCAGAGGGGATGCTCAGATGGATGAGATGGCTGCAGAGGAGGGGATGGAGCCAGATTGATGCAGTGGACGGAGCAGCATGAGGACAGCAAATGTCCTCTTGTTTTGGGGCATGAGACTCAGGGTGCCAGGCTGGGGGGGACAAGATGCCAAGGGCTGCTGGCGAGAGCAACTCCAGGGCTGCTGCTGTTGTATGGGGCTTTTGGGTGGCTCTTACCACTGGCCTTGTGCAGAGCTCCTGTCTTTCCCACAGAGCCTGCAGTCAGATAAGGAAGCCTTGCAGGAGGGAAGAGGCGCAGTCGTCAAGTACCGCAGGACACCGGATGGCTACATCCAGATAGGTACAGCGGGGAGCGGGGTGGTAAACTGCCTGCTGGGTTTGGTGCCACAGCCCGTATCCTCACCTTCAAGTGAATCGAGACCCTTGGTGCTGTTGGCTTGGCAAAGGGTAATTTCTGCTTGCCAGGAGTCAGGTTGGAATCGGATCTAATTACCAGTCTCCTTTCATCTACTGCCCTCCCTCCCCCTCTTAGACCAGGTGTCCTCCTCAGGTAGTTTGCAGTCCTGTGTTTCTGCCTGTCTCTGCTCAGAGCTGTGACCAAACTATTCAGATTATCAATTTGCCTAACCTGGTGGTAAAAACCCACACCACGAGTGATTTCGTGCTCTCCCTCCACAGCCTGTCTCAGTACTTGCACCGCTTGGACTTTGTCTCCTGCCACCTGAGCTGGTTTTAGTGCTTGTCCTGCCCTTGGACAAGAACGAGGGATTGCAGCCTATGGGGACGCGCTGGTGCGTGGTAAAGCCCTGGTGTCCCTGCTAATTTTTTTTTTTTAAATAGACAAATAAAAGAAAAATTTCCTCGCACACGTAGCTTTTTGCCATTTTAGCCTTCCTGTGCATGCTGTCTGGTTTCTCCCGGTTGCATTTTCCAAAATAAAAAAAAAAAGACACACCCAAAAATGTGACACAGCAGCAGGCTGAGACCTTGCTAGAACTATGGATATGAGACTTGCCTCCGTGGCATGGATCCTGAAACGATGTTTGCCTCTTAGAGGACAGTGCTGCCATCAGGCCGCTCTGCTCCCCTTTCACACAGCAGTGATACGTAGCCAAATACTCCCAGTTTTGTTTGGTGTAGCTGATTTTTTTTTTGTGTGTTCCCCTCAGTGTAGCATTTTGCACTGTATGGACGTCCACACTGCTGGTCTTCAGCCCGTTGCTCTGGTGTCGGGGAGCTGCGGGCAGGGGCTGCCATGGCTGCTCGTGGTCCCCCTCAGGGGGGGACAGGGGCTGGCTGACAGGGGACTGTCCCCGCGTCACCCGTGTGCTCTCCCCTCCAGGCTCCTTCTCCAAGGGTGTCGCAGAGGGCGAGGTGGACCCGTCCTTTGGACCGCTGGAGGCCATCAGGCTGTCCATCCAGACTGACTCCCCGGTGTGGATCATCCTGAGCGAGGTAAGCCGGGCTTCGTCAGCAGAGCCCGGGGCTCCCCGCTGCCACCCCCGGCTTCTCTCTCATCCCAGCCCTCTCTCCTTTCAGATTTTTATCAAAAAAGCGGAGTGACGCGAGCGTGAGGAAGGGTGGACACGCGTGGATTCCTTGGTCCTGCTCCCTCCCCTCCCGCTCCCTCCTCCTTGCGGCGTCTCGCCCGGACACAAGGACAGCCATGCCGGCGAGGCGCAGGCCCAGCTGCCGGGAGGCAAACAGGTTGCCAGGCCGGCACCACTGTCCCCAGCCGGCGGTGCGGGGCCAGGACGTCATCTTCTCCAGAAGAAAAGCAAAAAGCAAAAACCAATATCCCGTGCAGAGGGCTGGCTTTGCTCCCCCTGGCCCCTCACGGCTGCCGCACGCATCGCTCGGGCCACACCGACACAGGGGACAGTTTGGGGTCGGGATGAGCTGTAGTAAACGTGGGGACTAAAAGCACCTTCAGCCCAGGACAGGGCAATCCCCCACTTCGGGGACGGACTCCGGGGGGAGCTTGGTCACGTTGAGTCCTGCCGGCGCACTGGGATGGAGACGGCCGGGGACCGAGGTCTGCCGTGCCTTTGCCCAGGCAATGGTCCTGGCCACAGCTGAGGATTAAGCGAGGGTGAAGACTGACCCTCCTTCAGCAGAGCAGGAACGAATCCAAAGGGGTTGGAGCTATGAGTATGGCAGGGAAAACAAAACAAAAAAAATAAAATACGCCACACTGTGCCTGCCAGCATCGAACACAGCCCCTTAACTCACGGTGAAGTCTCCAGTGTTTTCATGCCTTGAGATTGAGTGCAGAAACCATCTTTTTAAATAACTATTTCAGTTATTGATAGGTGTGAATTTTTTGGGGGGGGAAAAAACAAAAAGGAGAAGTAGCCCAGTTCAAAAATAGTAGGGATTAGTGTAAATCCCAATGTCTCTTCAGCTATACACTGGAATGCATTATACTACTTTAATGTGCTGTATTTTTTATTATTGGATACATTTGATTTTTCAAGTACATCTCTATATATAAATATATAAAATAATGTGCACTGTAATAAAAGCTAAATTTAAAGCTTTGGTGCAGTGGTGAGAGTCACTCGCAGCAGGGAGGCACCTGCCCTGGCTCAGGATAGTGGGTGTCCCTGGGGGCCAGGGGCCCGCTGGAGCCCCTACACCTGAAATGGAGTCATTCCTCAGTGCTCACCAGTACCCGATACTCCAAAGCATCGCTCCTGCTGGGGAAAGCACTTCCAGCAGCCCGGTGGGAAACCGGTATTTTTGCCACAGCATCACAGGAGCCTTCGTCAGTTGTTAAAAAAGGAAAGGTTGGTCAGCTCTTTCCTCAGCGGGAGCAAGGAAGGCACTTGGGCACCCATACGCAGAAGGATGCACTTGTGGAACAGCTGTCTTACAAAATAGGTTGCTTTTTTTTATTCCCTCATGCAGCTTAGCAGAGAGCTGCCTGGGCGATGCCTGCTTTAGTTACCTGCAAACCCTGAGTTTGCAGTGGAGGTTGATATCTAGAGATGTCAACCAGTGGGTTGGTGATAAGTGAAAATCAATGCCAAGCACAGACATTAGCATTTGGACTAGAGTTAGGCTTTTTTCCCCAACGTTTGGATAAGGTTTTAGACACATTTACCTGGCCTTTTGAGTTAGTTTCAGTAACGGCAGCTTTTCCCATGTGAGCCCTTCAGATCTTCTCACACCCAGTGCCCCAAGCACTTTGACAACCACAGGTGATTTCTACTGAGAATTTATTTTTTGTATGTCCATGGTGTGATCCTTCAACATTGATCATTACAGCAGTAAGGAGGCGTGACAAGAGCATATTAGGTTGATCTGTGCTCCGTGAGACAGAGCCAAAGGCATTAGAGGTTTTAGAGCAGACAGTTCTACAGAACCTGGCTGTGAAGCCCAAGGGTGGGGGCAGAGGCTGGGCAGTGTTTGCTTTCTAGAAGGGACATTATCTCTGAAGAGCAGAGCTTTGTGAGCAGAGGAGTGCCGGCGTCCACCTCCCCTCAAAGGTGAGCGCAGAGCTGGGGAGATACTCAATCTCTGACCATGCCACACGACTCCCTCCCCTCCACCGAGGGGTGGTTTTGGGAGAGCGGTGGCCCTGCTCACCAGGCACCGAGCAGCTGGAGGGGCTGCAAAAGCGCTGCCATCCACGCGTAGGAGCTGGGCAGCAGAAAGTGTGCCAGGAGCCCGGCCACCGCCAGCCCCAGCAGCAGCCAGAGCAGCCGGGCGCTGGCGTACATCGGCCCCAACCTGCGCGGGGAGAAAACACCATCAGACACCACCAGCCAGCTGGGGCACGAAGCGTGCTGGTGAGGGCTTGGCATCCCCCATCCTCCTCCTATGCTGTGCTGGGGAAGAGCTGGTGGGGCCACGAGCAAGTGGGGGCAGAAAGGGGTGATGCAAACCGGCCTTCAGTACCACCCGCAGGAAGGAACCCTGCCCCGGGGGACGCATCCTGCACCCAGCCTCCCTGGGCTGGTTTGGGGTGACCATAGCCCCGGCCGGGTACTAACCGTCCCTGCGCAGCCACGGCGTATCCCTGGAAATACTTGAAGCGGGTGTAGAGGTAGAGCAGCCCACACACTGCAGCCACACCTGCGGGGGAGAGGGGAGCTGAGTGTGGGGTGAACTTTTTGTGAGAGATGAACTTCTCTACCCTGCCAAGTTGCCCCCGGGAATTGGATTTGCAACACTCCATTTCATGGTCCTTCCTCACCTCTTCCCTGCGGCAGCAGTGAAATCCCCAAAACCCACTTGGTACGGGATGGACAGTGGATGACTAATTGTTTGGGTTATGGTTTCTTGTTCTGATGTAGCGATTTGGGTATCGCATTGCAGCTCTGCTTCAGCTTGCTGCTGCCCTGGCACCACATGCCAGCCCGACCTTATCTAGGAGATGCAGCGTAGGGGACAGCCGGGCTCTGGCGAAGGAGCCCTGGCTGCCCGGGCCACCAAACCTCTCCTCTGGGCAGGAGACCGGCTCGGCTGCTACCAACAGCTTCACGCACGCTGGAGCTGGGGCGCTCCTCGGTCCATCTGGCCAAAGGTGAACTTTGCTTTCCTCAAGTAACAGCCTCACGGGTACAGAGAGGACCGCAATGGGATTTAAATTGGGGTTTTTGTGGTTTGTCCATGTGTTTTGGGTTGGGGTTCCCCCTCCCCCATTTACCTTGATGGAAGAAGATTCCAGCAACCCAGAGGAGTGAGAGGAAGATCGGGAAGTACTCTGAGCAATTCACCCTGGTGAGAAACAGAGATGAGAGTTAAAACCGCATCCTGGCACGTCAGAAACCAGTTAACTGAGGCCAGAGAGGTGAGCTGGAAACGCACTTTTGAGCAAAATGAAAGGGCTGATAAAGAGGTACTGCTGTGCTGTTCTGTGCTGTGATGGGGAGAAAGAGCTTTCTCTGCGAGCAAGGACACCCAATATCTGTACCTTAGAGAAGAAAAGCACCCAAGCAAGGCACAGCGTTCACCTCACCCGCGTTCACATAGACCCCACAATGATGAGCCGTGGCCGAGATGGAGATTTGTCTTTGCTGGACCCTCAGCAGGCTCCGTCCTTGGTCCCACACAGCGCCTTTGCAGACAGCAAAGCACAGCTACAGCTTAAAAGCTGCAAGGGTGGAGGTTCCTTGGCATTATTTAAGGAGCGCTCCCTTCCCCTTGGGTGAGCACAGCTCAAATCTGGGTGTCACACGAGTCATGCTCCAAGGAGGAGCCTTCTCCCAGATTTAATTCAGCAGAAGGTGATCGGATCTGCAGCCAGGTTTTCTTTTCTTCTTTTTTCTATTAGTGACAAAAATACAGGTTTTCCACAAGAAAGGACAGTGGGAGCTGTGCTATTAAAGACAATGGGTTTGTTTCTCGATTTTTCCTACTTTTTACCATTCCTTAGGCAATTTAATCTTAAATTTGGCCAAAAATTTACCAAGCCTTGGGGAATGGAGCCAGATTGGGAGCTGGAAAAAGTCTGAAGAACCTTTCGCTGCAAATGCCGTTTGAGCCTCAGTGAGGGGAGGCTGCCAGGTTTCCGTGAGTAATAAATCAATACTTTTCTTTCCCTCTTTTTTTTTTTTATTATAAATATATCAAAACAAATTATCCATTTGTATCCTTTTCTACAGGGAAAAGAATAAAGGGATGAAAAAGCACACAATAAAGAAATACCTTCTCAAACTCAAGTTCCCTGAGGTCGCTTCTTCTGCAGATTATAGCGGAGGGCTTCCCGGCATCCCGGAGCCCACGGCATGACTTGGTTAATGCATGGTAGCCCAGTATATAATTAAAAGCCTCATCAACAGCTACCCAGCTAGTAAAGGCTGATGCCTTCCATGCAGGCTGGCCTTTCACTGCATCGCAAAAGGACTGAAGCGGGTGTTTTTGTCACTCCACAAATGTTTGCTGCACACTGGCAAGGAAACGCAGCTGCTTTGTTCAGGATTTAGTGCCGTGCTCGAGCTACCCTTCAAACCACCTCCGGCCAGTTCCTTTCACTCGCTTATGAAACAGCACAATTGAGATGAAAGAGGGAATCTGGTGCTTGCTGGAAGCCACAGGGATCTGTGAACATTTCCAGCTTAGCTCCAGCATTGCTCTCTCCATAGGAACAGAGCAAAAAGAAACAGCCCTCGGCATGGCCCCGCGAGTGCCGACTTTCACAGTACAATGGCTTAAAAAAAGGAAAAAATTAAAACATCCTCATGGCTGGTTCTGCCAACAAGGCCCTTTGCTTCAATTCAACAGCAAAAACATACAAGCAAATATTAGGTTATTAATATAGCTTCAGCTACTCTCACAATTTGGAGCCAACATTAATATTAAATTTAATCTTTGTAATGCATTAAGGCTCAGCACCTCTTCCATACTGCCACTAATTTGTAATTTGGCTGCCTCTCATGATGCCAGAAGGAGGATTATCATGGACGGACAGCAACACTCCAGCCACAGCTAAGTGCTCCAAATCAAAACTCAGACCTCTGCACACAAAGCATTTAAAAAAAAAAAAAAATTCGCATCAGCAGCAATAAGTGAAAAGGTGACTTCAGTCTTTCCTGGTAGTGACATTTGACTCAAAT